CTTGTATGTACTTTTGTATAACTCTGAGGGTCTCCTTCCATTTCCATGCAATTTCCCTTCTCTCTCCCTTTCCCTCCCACCTCTCATCCCTGTTTAATGTTAATCTTCTTCTCATGCTCTTCGACCCTACTCTGTTCTTAGTTACTCTCCTTATATCAAAGAAGACATTTGGCATTTGTTTTTTAGGGATTGGCTAGCTTCACTTAGCATAATAGCAGCTTACATTCTTGACAACGAGAACTAGAGGAGGAAAATTAAAATGGGAACCAACATACCCAATAAGCTTGAGTTCCTGATGCTGTCTTCTCACTCCCTATGCTAGTTGGAATCAGTCATCAGTCAGTGCTTGCTGTTCTTAACATCCTTGTTAAGGGTTTATCACCTACGCCTTTGCCCTGCTTCTCTCCCCTCTTCTTTCCTTTTCCCCTCCTACTTTTCCTTCCCTCCTTCCCTTCTTCCTTCTCTCCTTTCCTCTCTCTCTCTCACAAAACCATAATTTTAAATTTTTCTAAACTTTATTATGCCCTAGTGAAGGAAAAAGAGGTTACACTTTAATCATGCTTCAAGGACCTTTGCTACCCTGAATTGTAAATTAGTTCCCTTTACTGCATTAACATTTCAGGCCACAGGGGCAGGTTTAATGCATTGATTTTGTAAGTTCTGGCTAGATTTAGTGTATTTGTAAAGTTACCTACTTCAGAGAACTGGCCTGCAATTTAAACACTAAAACAGTCAGATTTGGTATCAGAGAAGAGAGCCCTGTCAGAAAGAGGCTTTTATTGTAAGGCTTAAATAGACTTGGTACAGTAGCCTCAGGGAAATCAGTACCAAGAGGTGAGACACCTGCGACTGTAACTGATTCACTGGGTCTCTTGGTGTGAGTCACCTCTCTGTGTATGTATCCCTATTTGGATAATGGGAGCAATAATTTTCTCCAGTATACTTCTTAAGGCTTTAAAAACAATTTAACATACTCTAAATAATACTAATGGAAAACGTATAACTTATATTTATTAGGTATACTATTCTGGACTAGGTATTGCATTCCTCCCCCCTCAATACCCTCACCCTCATTCCTGGCAGTGACTCTTGGAGGTGAGATAAGTATTATCATCACTCTGATCTAAAGACAAAACCTGAAGCTCTGAGATGTTTAGCCTGAACTTAAGATCCCATGCCTAGTCGAGTGGTCTAATTTTCCCAGTAGTGGGGAGAACATAGCTGGACTACAGCTTGCCAATTGGTGGCCTGATACCCTCCTGGGCTTCAGAAGGGTGAAGTACTGGCCCTTGGTGCATGTACAGGGCCCAAGCAGAGTCCCCAGCTGGTTACACGAGGCTCTGAATAGTTTCATTTTGGGTGCAGAGACCCTCCAGATCACCCCAGCATGCCCTAGAAATGTCACCATTCCTTATGTATATCATTACATGAGAAAGACTGCTGAGCTCCAACTAGAATGTGGGTGCTTAGAAGCCTTAGCTGCCAGAAACAGAAAACAAAGAGCCCCCAAAAGCGATGCTCATCACTGACGATGACATGTAATCAGAGATGTTGAGTGCTCAACTTTTCAGCTTTTGACCTCAGAATGTTAATCTATGAGGCTGGTCCTTGAGTTTATAGACAAGTATTTCTGTGTCCCATGACATTTGGTTTTATGTGGCCTGGTATGGTCAGTAGTTATGTCACACCTAACCCCCAAATTCCTCAGTGCCTTTTCAGCCTCTGTGACTCTGTGTTCTGGGCTGCCCTTTATACACCATGCATGGAAAGAGGTCAGAATCATCAAGTGCATTTTTAGTGGGGAAAGAATGGAAAGCAAGCTAAAGACCCCCAAAGAAGCATTTTTAGAGATCTATGAGTTCAGGTTTTGATATATCCTGCTCTTAAAAATAAAGACTAATAATAATAATACCCATAACCCATGCAGCAGGAGTCTTTTCACTCCCCTCTCTGAGACCTACACCAGATCTATCATTCATCTTTGATCATTGAGCCAGAAAGAGTTTATTTAATACTCATTTGAAGGGTTTCCAATGACACTAGCTCCATGGTGTTAATTCCACTTGGCTCAGCTCCTTCTACTCCTAAGGGCTCCACGGGGCCTGAGAGGAGTCCCTCCCCTTTATTGACATTTGATGCTTTTTGAAGGAAGTGGTGATCACATTAGTGGTTCGGGCTGAAACCCTAGTCCTCGGCCTGGTCATGTTTCATAACTGTTCTCAGATTGGCCCCTTTCCAAAACCCAGTTTAGTTCAGCTCTTTGCTGGAAAGATAAAGAACATTAGAAAAGCATTGAATCCTGAGAGGGAACTCTTATGGTTATCAAGGTATTACATTATGAAGCGTCTACTGGAGATTCTGCTGCCTTCACAGACACACAGAACTATGTGGGGGACTGTGTTGGACTGTGACTCAGTGCAAGGCTGGCTCATGGCTGCAGAAGAGCCTCCTGGGAGCTTATGAAATACAGATGTGGTACCTGAGCAGGGACTGGGAAGAGGTATTTTTCTAATGTGTACATGAGTTTGGAAGTACAGACCTAGGCTGTCTCATACAGCCTTGCAGTACTGTTCAAACAGTAGCTTGCACCATCCTATCATTTTTTTCCCCTCAAAGGTAAAAATTCATAGCCACTTCATGTGTTTTTTTGACTCAGTTGCCTTTATTTTATGCTGATATAATACAGCCCCCTATGTCCCACCCTTTACCATTTCTTTGATACATGACAGCTTTCTAAGATGAGTTTTAGGAACCAAGGCAAACAGATCAAGACACTAAAGGAGTCTTTGGACTTGTGAGAGGATAATAAACAACATAAATCAGCTATTTCAGGACTTCTTAATTGATCAAACTTAATTGCAGTGGGAGCAGGTGAAATTTGCTGAGAAGTTAGGTAATGCATTTGGGGATGGGGTGGAGAAACCCCTTGGCTGGAGGCTTGGCAAAGGAAAATGTGTCAGGTGAACATATAAGAAAGCAGAGAGAACATTTTTGCAAAGCTTTGGTGGCCAGGAAGCCTGATAGGTGACAAGAACTACCTGATTCATGGTTTCATCACTGCACAGAGTTTGAGGCAGTACATGCTAGGAATAAGGGTGGACATGTTGGCAGAGACTGGATCATGAGGGGCTTTTGCATCATGTTTGGTGGGAGTACATTTTGGACCTCATCACCACAGCTTCCCTGCCCCATGTTTAAGGTTCTTTTTTTTTTTTCATAAATACTACCTTGATCTGTATTGTTTTAAAGTCCTCTCTCCTGACAATATGGCATGATGAAATTTCTTATTCTCTTGCAACACCTTGGGAACAGAAGCTAAGTGGTAATTTTCTATATCCCACATGGGGCCCTACTTCTATGTCTCAATTTCTGGCCCTGTTAACATGTTTGTATTTTGAAGCCACAAGTCACCCATCTGTGGGGCTTCTTCCATAAACTCTTTGGAAGCTATCTTATCAAATAGGGACCAGGGAATGAGCATCATGGGAATGGTGATGTTGGATAGTTCTGAATATGAGGTCTTCCTGACCTTGACCCCTTGACCTGCCACCCTTCACCCCCAGAGTCAAAGAGCCATGGAGGACATTTGCCCCGAGCTTTGCAGCCAGATTCCTTTTTCTACATAGGCATTCTTCACTCCTCCAATCATTGTCCTTCCATGTGTCTCAGTGTGTTTTCACTCAAACCCAAACTCTTACCAATCCCAACATGAACAGCTTTCCCACCTCTCAGCCTCATCTCAGGCTACTGTCCTTGAACCTAAGCTCTTGCCACTTGATCTTTTTTTTCAGATTTTCAAAGAAACAAGCTTTATTCCTACTTCAGACCTTCTGCACATGCTGTTCCTTCTGCCGGCAGAAGTTCTACATCCTCACCCTGTCAAAATTGCTCAAACCTGGAGAGACTTTTTTTTACATCTTTGTTTAAATAAGCCCCCTTCCCCTATATTCTTGACACTTAATATGCACTTTTACATTGTTTTGAATTTTCTCTTCTTCTTTATTGTTAGACTTTCCCTTTATGTTCCATAAAGCAGTGACATGCGTGCCTTATTCACAACTGTTCCCTCCCCACAAGTTTCATGATAAATATTCAATAATTATTTGCTGTATCAGTGGATGGATGATAGACAAATGGGTAGATGGGTGGATGGATGGATGGATGGACAGGTGGACAGAGTTGAAGTCTCTAAGTTGAATTCTTCACAAAATCAGCCAGCCATTCTTTATTCACACCATAGCTCCACCAGCCAGACTCCTGGGAATACTTTTCTTCCCCATTAACCAACAAAGTTGCATCTGTTCAGTCACAAGCTCCTGCTTCAGTCTAAACTTCATGTGTTTAATGAAATATATGATCCCTAGGGTTGACACTAATTTACCCGCCTCCTGACCTATATAGAAAAAACATATATTTTGTTAATAACCTTGGAATATATTTTCATTGTTTCCGTTTGGATCACTTATCCAAATTTCATCTAAGTAAAAAATTTTTATTTTTCTTAGGTTTAAAGCAATAAGGATGCCTTCAGAAATTGTGAGCAATACTGAGCATGATGAAATAAATATGAATCCTGCATGATTTCTTCACCCTGAGTTAAACAATATAGATATTCTGTCTGTTTCTATTTAGTGATTTCCTTATACATCACAACTTGTGTGTTTGTGTATATACATATATGAGTATCCTGAATTTTAAATATAATATGAGCTGAATGTGTCCTTGTGTCATTATAAATACTTTTAGAAGCCTGTGGCCATGATAGATTGCAGAAGCAGGACGTGAAACTCCATAATAATTTCAATTGGGTACAAACAAAAAAGTGTGAATCCCCTACAAATACACCCAGCTCAGACGCTGAGTGTCTTGGGCACATGAGATGTCTTTATTAAAAACATTCCTGCCAGATTTCCAGAACAACAAATGGGGGAAAACTTGGCAGACCACTTTCCTCTGAAGAACTAACTATGACAATAACTCATGTTTTCTTTCTTTTCTAGAGTGACCGTCTCCTTATCAAGGGAGGCCGAATTGTCAATGATGATCAGTCCTTCTATGCTGACATTTACATGGAGGATGGCTTGATAAAGTATGTATATAGAACTTTTTCTTTTTAAACTTACTGTCTTCATGGAGGCCTAGAAAGAAGTCTGTATTGCATTAATGAAGTGAAAAATCTAAGTTTGGTCAGCAGGATATTTCTCAAGACTGCTTTGTACAAGCTGTTTTGATCGGCACTCTATGGGTCATGGGAAAGTGGTGTGTGTGTATTGCTCACAGTTTCTGAAGGCATCACTATTGCTTTAAATCTAAGAAAAATAAAGTCTTTAAAAAGAACCATAAAAATCCCTTGGCCTTGAGTAAAAGGTATCAAAGAAGTTGAAATCAGGATAAGAGAAGTACACAGAAAGATATCCATTTATAGGTAAGGTTTGGGGGATAGTGCATTTATTTATTTTCTCCAGATTTTTATTGGTGCGTTATAGTTGAACATAATGGTAGGATTTGATATTACATATTCATGCATGCATTCAATGTAAGAATATAATTTGGCTAGTATCACTCCCCAGCACTGGCCTCTCAGTGCTAGAAAGTGTATTTAAGTTGAAGTTTGACAAAGGGGTAGGGCTTAGAATGTCAGGGCACAGATTGAACATGGATTTCAGGCATGATTTCCAAATAGATTCATCAGAGAGGTATAATTTCTTTAAAAATAGTTGGCTCTTAGGTGCCTATAAGTGCATACCAGTTAATTTTTATGCATAAGTTCCTTATTTATGAACCTCAAAGAAGGATTTGATTTTTGCAGTCTTGTTTTTTAGGTCTTTAATCATGTACCACAAGTTACACCAATCACACTGATAAGACATTGTATAAAACTGGAGTATCCAATCCATCTTCTTAGCTACCGTGATCTCATTCAGTTTTATTTTTATATTACTAAACTGCATTGGTTAGTTTAAGATTGTGATTATATGAGACCTCTTATTTATCTTTGAAAAGTTAGCTCAGATATAGTTTTCTGTAGGGAGGCAGATGTTCTTATCAAATCCCAAGCCTAAGCTAAAGGAAGGAAGCCTAAGCTTCCCTTTCTGTGTTCTCAAAACATTCTGTGCTTTTATCAATCACAGCAATTCTGTCATAGGTCTCCTTAGAGCAAGGACCATATCTTGCTCATCTCTGTACCCTTGACTCTTAGTCTAGTGCTTTAGCACATTACAGATTTGGTTAGAGTTACCTTTTACAGAGTGTGCACTATGTGCCAAACACTGTGTTAGATGTTTTCCATGCTATCTCATTCAGTCTGCCAGCAGCACTGTGGAATAAGTACTATTGTCACCCTCTTTCTTAGGTAAGGAGAAAGAGACACAGAAAGTAAATAAGTTGCAAAAGGTCAGCACATCTGTGAAATACATTGAATGGCTGGGTGAATGAATGAATGGATGAACAAATACAAAAATATTCATTCATAGTTTCCTTGCAAATTCACATTTTTACTCTTCTATGTTAGAAGAGAAGTGGAAATAATAGGCAAACCACAGTGTAATGCAACAATTTCTTGAAAATATAAACCAAAATTGAGTACATATTTTTCTATAACTAAAAAATTATATTGTTGGAGGTATGCGCTCCCTCACTTAGAGACTTTCACAGATGGAAAAAAATTTAGTACCTAATGCCTCCTCCTCATTTCAGCACTCATGACAGTCATCACTAATTGACCACACAGCTTTTTTTGCAGTTGAACCTAAGATCTTCACATGTTATTTCAGGCATCCACAAGCAGAACTGAATACATAGGATGAATCTTTTTTTCCATGTTTATTAGAAAGACTGCAAAGCCACATGTTGAGGATATTACAGAAGGAATTGACCATCAGTTGTTTGTTCTGTGAGAGAGAGAAGGTTGGGTGAACGTGATCTTTATCCAATCCTGAAAGTTTGTATATCTCTGACAACCTTCTAGCTCACTAATATAAGGACATAAATAATCTCTTTAATTGTTGCAAAATTGTTTGCCTGTCTGAATATTTATGGAATACTTACTATGAGCAAGGCAGCTGTCTAAGGCACTAGTCATCATGCTTTCTTCCCCAGGGAACTTATAGTCTTTTAGGGAAACTGATATATATATATAATTTATATACAGAGAACCTAACACCATGAGGTATTATTTTATTTTACTAATTTAATACTATCAGCATTAAATTAGAAAAATAGATGAAATTCAGAGGAGGGAGGGGGCTGGACATTAGTTAGTTATAACAGCTGGTGATTATTGAACTGTAATATGCCTTTAGTCTTGTATAGGCTCAACGGAAACTAACATTTAATGTACATAATTCTATAGAGGACACATTACATTATACAGATGAAATAATTGAGGCATGGTGAGGCTAAGTTGCCCATGGTCACACTGCTGGTGAGTAAGCCGCAAATGGGAAACCAGGTAGCCTCCATCCAGAGCATAGTCACACTCTTCATTACAGACTGGCTGTCAATAGAAACTTGAAGAGGAGGAGATGGATGCTGAAACTTCCAAGAATTATGTGACATTGATCAGGATGGTGGAGAAAAAAGGAGAAGGCATTCCTGTTTCAGACTTGGTGTAATGCTGAATGTCAAAACGGTGAAAACACAAATGCGTGCGTGCACACACACACACACATACATACACAGGCCAAACAGTTCTTTATCCCCTTGATTCTCAGTTTCTCCCAGAGGAAAACTGATGAGGAAGAAAAATGGGAACAGAACTAGCCAGTATCTGGTCTAGAGTAGAGTTAGGATCAGAGTCTGCATTTTTACCACAGTGTGTTTTGAATTGTGGCGGCTCTGGAATGACCCGTGGTGATGTGGTAAAGTTGAACTCTTAGAGATGTCAGAAATACTTTAGATGCAGAACTCGAAAGTCTGGCAGGCCAGTGTTGGTCTTCTTACTGCCCCAGGAGAGAGTCTTTCTAGCTGCCTGTGTACAGAAAGGAAAAGTACTCAAGCCACCAGTAGTGGGGTACTTATATATCCAAGGTAGGAGATGTCCAGTGATGATGTCGAGGCTATGCATCTGGGTTTTACCTGGACAGTTTTGACCTGCTGTCTAAATCCAGGGTATGAAATCACATAAAAACAAACAAACCTTGGGTAGTCTATAAGGAACAATGTGCAGGGAGCAGTTGCTATTGTCACTTTCCTGGTGAGGTGTGCCTTTGAGATGCTGGTCGGCTTACTCCACACCTGAGTCCCCATTGCTCTGAAGCTCCCCAGACCAAGCTGTGTCTTGGGGAGGTTGTCATAATCACCAACCTTGGCTTGAAGCTTCTACAGAGATGCTAACCACACAACAGCAGCTGGTGCTAGAGGCATCCAAATTTTTTACTTTATCCCCTACAAATCTACTACCGGCTGTGGTTGGTGAATCACTAGGGAAAGATCTGGATTGGCAGTGAGGACAGAGGTGGGAAATGACCCAGGCAGAGTCCTTTTATTAGGAGCACAGATGACCTGCTTAGAATGTAACAAAGTTCCCACACCTGTCCTTGAAATGATTCATTGTCTTCTTCTGTCTCTCATAACAATCTAGTAGTTTACACTTCTTCTAGCCTTTCCAAAATTATTCTTCACCCTTAAATGAAGAACAAAAGGAACATGTTTATTTTTTCAAAAATGTTCATTACACACACTATATTCTAGACACTGTCAAACCACTGCGGTTATGGTCCAAAACCAGGACACATAGTCCCATAACAGATCATTTCATGTCAATAAAAACACATGTTTTCTGTATATATAGCTATCATTGTTTAAAGATTGCTAGACTTGTGAGTCATTTGCAAAGACTACTTCAACAAATATATTACAATGTTTAAAATGCTATGTTTGTCTGGTCTTTTAAATTGCTGGTTGTTTCACTGTCTCACCAGGCAAATTGGAGACAATCTGATTGTCCCTGGAGGAGTGAAGACCATCGAAGCCAATGGGAAGATGGTGATCCCTGGAGGCATCGACGTCCACACTCACTTCCAGATGCCGTACAAGGGAATGACCACCGTGGATGACTTCTTCCAAGGGACAAAGGCTGCCTTAGCAGGCGGCACCACCATGATCAGTAAGTCTTCAGATTTTGCACACTCCTGATGCCCCAAGGTGTGTGCTTTACAACTGTACCAACCAAAGTGCTCCCTGATGATATCTGGTATGCTTCTTTCAAGATGTTTTACCTTATTGGACCTGAGAAAAGCAGGTTGGTCTAAGGAAATTGGCAGCTCCGTGTAGCTGTGTAGAGGACAGTCATGAAGCTCATGATCATAAATGCAGCTAAGAGAATGATAATTCACAGAGAGAATGATAGTTCAGACTTGCAGTTCTTGGGGAAATAGTGGGCTTCAGTGGATTTAGTGCTATTTCATCTGTGCTGTATTCGGACCAATTTGTATCTTTAAGATGAGGCAAAGCTGTGAGAGTGGTTTTCCTTGTGTTTTGTTTTTTGGTTTTGTTTTGTTTCTGGTAACTTGTAATTCCAAAGAAGCCCAGGGAGTTGCATGCCATTGGATTACCGAACCCATAGCATTCCAGGGCAGTCCTTCCTGTCCTGAAGCAATCTCAATGAATTGGGCCCTATTCCGGCACTGGCTCCAAACTTGGTCAACCAGAGCACTGTTTATTTTAACATCATATACATCCAACCCTGCGTAGGGAACAGCCTGAGCCCTAGAATCACCCACTGCTCATGCACCTCTTTTGGCAGGGTTCAGCTTTAGCTAGTTGGGTGTGGAAGCCCAGGAAAACTGCATCAAGGCCATAAAAGGTGCAATCCAGGGAGATGAAAGCATTTCTCCAGTCCCAGGGGAAAGCAGCTGACTTCTTGGCTGTTGCTGCCCATGAAAGCCCTGGTGTTGCTCCAGACATTAGCAATGTCGCTGCTGCATGCATTTGCTTTCCGATAAGTGCACTCAGGCTGCCTTTGACACAAGGCAGAGAAAGTGAGTGATCTTGGCTTGGCTTTCTGCCATGTGGGCGCACAGTGGGACCTGCTCAGCCAGCCTGAGATGCACATCCTGCTTGAACTTTTGTGTTAGGAAAGGGTGAAACCAAGATCTGGTGACAAGGGTAAAGCAGAGCAGGAGCCACAGAAAGCTTTTGTGTCCCTCACAGGTAACTTAGAAACCCTAAATATGCAAAATAAATAGATAAATAAATAAGAAACCTTATGATCCCACATCACTGTTAGAGTTGGCTGTCTACACACATTTTCCCCATTTAACAACAATAATCATCATATTTGTACTATATTTTAGCCTGACATTTTCACTAAATTATATATCCTGAATATCTTTCCACTCTTTATTTTTTTCCCTACCACAATATTTAAAAACGGATGCCTAACCATTGATTTATGTATTTAAACAAACTTCCCTATTATTAAAGGCTTGAATTATTTTCAGGGTTTTCACTTATATAAATATATTAGCACAATCCTTGAAACTGAAATTTTGCATACATAATAATAAATAAGCCACACTTATTTCCATAGGAATAACTCTTAAGCATGGGAATAATTATTGAATTAAGGTATGAAAAATGTCCATATTTTTTATATGTATTTCAAAATTGTTCTCAGGAGAGTTGTACCAATTCACACGTTACCTCAGCTGCCCAGGGGAGGGGGGAATATGAGAGAGGAACTTTTACATTATCCCCACCAATTGTAGATGTGGTGATTTTTTAAAAATTATTAATTGTTGCAGGGGAAAGAGTAGTTTTGGACCACAAAGAAACTGGATTCTTACCAGAAAATTCACATGTAAATGAGATCTTTGGGCCTCAGTTTCACTTACCTGATGCCGCCCTTTTTGCATAAGTAAACAGAAGCACCTTGATTTCTTGTACCTGGTGTAGCTTTAAAGTGCTTCCTCCCACCCTGGGAAGAGAGCCCAATTTTATCAACAGTGACTCGGCCCTGTAATAACAGCACCTAGTGGGCATTCATTGCTGGCTAACATTTACTGAGCACTTACCACGTGCCCAGCATCGAGTAAAGCACTTTACATGACTTTTACCATTTAGTGATATAACAAACTGAGATGGAAGATGCCATTACATCCTGTTGTCCACCTTGTCACTTGTTTCGAGGAGAGAAAACAGAGATTTAGAGAAACTAGTAATTTGTCCCAAATCCCATAACTAAGAGACATTTAACGCTTCAGCATTGTGGAGCTACCAGGGAACACTTTCTAAGTTTAATGTCATAGTTAAGCAAGCAGGCACAGGCCTGGTAGGGGGAGCGGACCCCTGACTAAGTCACAATCTGGGTCTCTATTGTCCAGTTGACCACGTGGTGCCGGAGCCTGAGTCTGGCCTGACGGAGGCCTATGAGAAATGGCGTGAGTGGGCTGATGGGAAGAGCTGCTGTGACTATGCCCTGCATGTGGACATCACCCACTGGAACGACAGCGTCAAGCAGGAAGTGCAGAACCTCATCAAGGACAAAGGTCAGCCCCAGCGTGCCCTCCTCCCTCTTTCCTTGGCTTCTCCTGCCTCTCCATCCCACATTGTCCACCCAATTGAGTCACTTCTTGCTTGGAGTCTTGAACATTACACATAAGTACTGGATGTAGGAGTTCTACTTTGTTACTCAATCTTACTTCCCACAGGATCCTCATGAGCTGGAGATCATTACTCCTGCTTTGCAGATGGAGACGCTCAGGGTCAGATTAAGTGCCTAAGATCACAGAGTTAGTAAGCAGTAGATCTATCCAAAGTCAATGCTGTTCCCTTCTGGGCAGTGTTACTCATTTTTTTTCCGAGGAAAAATCTAAGGAGAGTTTCACTTACCCTACAGAAGGTCACATGGTTAGCAAATATGAAATTAGGAATTTTTTTAGCCTCTATTATTTTGACTCCAGAGTCATAAACCATTATTATTAGATAACAATAGCATCCTAAGGAAAGGAGCAAAGATATGCTGGTACATGGGCTAGGAACATAGGATATGAAAATTGTGTATGTGTGTATGTGTGTGTTCTCTCAATGAGGACATGATTTAGGTCCCATTATCTTATTAGAGTCTTCTGTTCTCTACTTCTTTCTATGATTTGGTCTTTAGCTCTTCAACACATGTACCCACATACCCGACACATGCACACCTAGGTACCATGTGCTCAGCACTGTGAAGCAGCCCAAAGGATTTAGGGAAGTTCAGGTGCCTCTGCTGAGCATCCAATGCAAAAGGAAGCCATCCCAAGCAGAGCAACAGAACACATGCCTCAAGATGCAAGCATGGTTATCATATTAGTTGTCTAGACAATGCTAGGAGCTCAGCAAAGAGTGTGTGCCCGGGTTGAGGGGAAATGATGAACTCTCAAAAGATGAGCTGTTCTTTCTATCCATCTCCTTTCCCCCAAGCCCTACCCAACCCTTGGGGACACAGAAAGTGACATTAGCTCCCTCCCTTCTCTCTGTATCTTCTTTTACTCAGGGTATCTCAACAGGGGTAGAAAGTTGAGTGGTTTTAACAACCACATAGGGTCAGGTCACTGCATGGGTGACATAGAGGCTTTCGGGAAGAGTAGTGTTGGGGAAAACTGCCCTGAGTTGAACCACTCTGGGAAGGGATGTTCTCAAATTATAATCCATTTTTGGCCTGGAACACTGTGGGCTGAGATGGCCTTAATGGTTAAAGACCAAAATTGTCTTCCTTTCCTCAAAATGATCCCCTATTCCCAAGTCCCACCTATTTATTTTGGGTGAAAATTAAATAGCTCTTTCCTTATAACTCATATGACTTAGGTATTAAAAACTTGCTTTCTGCCTCTATTAGCTCTTCTAGTTCCCAAATTTGGGATTGATCTCTCTCTCCCTCTCTCTTTCCCTCTGATACCAGGGATTAAACCCAGCAGTGCTTAACCACTCAGCCACATTCCCAGGCCATTTTTGCTTTTCATTTTGAGACAAGGTCTTATAAAGTTGCTTAGGGCCTAGCTAAATTGCTGAGGCTGACTTTGAACTTGCAGTCCTCCTGCCTCAGCCTCCTGAGCCGCTGGGATTACAGGTGTGTGCCATACTTGGCTGAAGAACAATTCTTAAAACTGCATGTAGGGCAAATATCTTTTTGTTACAAAATCATGAGGAGTATTATTAGGTTGACATATCCAGATTTGAATTTGAACTTTGCTCTTTAAACAAACTGTAGAGAATGGAAAGCAAAAGTAGTTTTTCTGTTTTTGTTTTTTTACAGAAAACAGTATCTATAGATATAATCAGAAGTACAAATTCGTTAACCAGAAAAGATTCCTATGCCTGCTGGCATCTTAGAAGCAGGTTTTAAAGAGTTTAATTTTGTTTCCTTCGTTCTTCTCTTGGACACCACACCGTGCACAGGCATGGTGGTGGAGAAAGCATTCATTAATAGTGAGATAAACATATCCCAGGAGACCCATCGTGGAGACCAGCATTCTGTCAAAATGGATGCTCAGAACTCTCCTTCATTGTGTTATCAACCATTGTCAACCACTGTTTTGTATCAAGTGTCCAACACAGAGGTAACAACACATGTCAATGTGCACAGCCACCTTATGAAGTAGGATATTGTTATTTTTCCATTTTATGGATGAGGAAATCAAGGCCCAGGGAGTTAAGTACTCTCAACTCACTGAAATATGTGGTGGATCCACTCACCCCAGTGAGTGACCACAGCTACTGTGCTAGACTGATTCTCCATGGTGTCTGCTGCTTGGGGGCAATGTCTAAGTTTATTCGCCTCCTGGGCTGCTGTGCTGGAGGTGGAAAGTGAAAAGTAGGGCAGAAGAAGAGACCATTCTGCTTTGACATCATTTAGGAACTACTGATTTTTATAGGAAAGGGGCGGGTATAATAGAACGTTCTTGGAGGATTCCAAGTATCGGCTTTATATTGAACAAGCACCTGAGTAATGTGCTTGGGTCCCATGGGTGACAGAGTGGGAGTAAAGATGAAGGGTGGTTGTGATAATGTCTCCTGTTTTTTCTCCCGTCCCTGTCTTGCAGGGGTTAACTCCTTCATGGTTTACATGGCCTATAAGGATTTATACCAAGTGTCCAACACAGAGGTAACAACACATTCGCTATGTGGTTTGGGGTATTTTGACAAATTTCATAGTGTTGCTGTTGACCTTGGCCCTTCTGACATGAGTCACTGTGGTCACTGTGGGAGACTGCTGGGCGAGCATGCTTCTTGAAGTCCTTGCAGTCCATGCTGCATTAAAAATAAGGTAATGGGCAGGGTGCCTATGGCAAGACAGAGAGCTAGATTTCCACTAGGAGCAGCTTTCTTGAAGGCAAAGAGGAAGGGCGTGCCTAAATCTCCATCTATAGCATGATCCCTTATAATCTCATTGGAAGTGCGGGGCTCTTTGCCAACAAGATCGGGAGGGCCTCCTGCCATTTGGACTAATTGTACCAGCTTGCCTCTGACTCTGTCCCTAGAAAGTCATGTCATGTGTTGGTGTTAGACCAATCTCCAGTATCACAGAAAATGTAAGAAATTAGTTCCCATGCCTCCTGGTTAAAGGGTGAAGGTAGGTCTGTCTTGAGTCGTTCAGAGATAAGGGGTTCATGTTTTGTGTTAGCTGTGGCAGGGCTGTTAATGCCTTTCTGGAGCCCTTGTTGAGAAAGATTCTAAAGCTGTGTCTCAGCTCAGTAGGAAGTGATTCCATTAAAAATGTGTGTCAGAGGTAGAGGAGAGGGGCCAGCAGCACTTTGTCACATGTTTATCCTGCCTCTCCAGGAGTCAGGACAGCTTCTGCATTTAGATAGGACCTCCGAGAGAGTTTCTTTGGACTACACTCCTCTTTGCTCATGCATATTTTAGTCTGTTTTCCTAGTTCCTGATATCTTCTGGTTTATTCCATTTATTTTAGCTCTGGCTTTAGTAATTGGTCTTTATGTGAAGTTGCTCAAAATGTCTGTGAAGGGGACAAAGATTCATTTCTATTTCAGCTCTATGAGATCTTCACCTGCCTGGGAGAACTGGGAGCCATTGCTCAAGTCCATGCCGAGAATGGAGATATCATTGCCCAGGTAACCCCGTTGCTCTCTGGGGCATGCTTTCTGTTTGGGCGTTGCTTTCTGGGTCTGCTTCCATTTGTTTCCTTATTTGTTCAGCGTTGCTTCAGCTCTCAGCATGTGCAAGGCTCCATCATAAGCAGGTTACTAATGGCAGAACTTGCCCTGAAGAATCTTACAGTCTGCACAAAAGGTGAAAGGAGGCGGGATGAAGACAAACACAGAGAAACTAGAAGATGCTGTACAACAGGAAGCCGTCTGGCCCTCCTGGAGAATCAGAATGGGAATTTTGAAAGAAGAGGCTTTCAATTTGGGCCATTTAATGGGAAGGCAGTGCTGATTCTCTCCTGAAAATGAGTCAAAACTGTAGAACATTCTCTGTCCTAACGAAAAACCCTAAGGCAGCATTTCTCAGAAGCCAGGAATCCAATCCAAGTCTGGTGAACCTGCTGCCTTAGATAATAAAATTTAGGTCTTGGGGGAATCAGACATCTCATGCATTTCCTAGAAATCACATTGAAAAACCAAGGAAAGACTGATGAAAGCAGAGGCCCCAAGGCCCAATTGACCATTTGTAAGGAAGCAGAGAACCACTCCCACTCCATCTCCTGGGTTGCTTAATGGAATAGATGAACAGATGTGTCCTAGGCAGGGTTTGCTTAATCTCAGGAACATTCAGCATTGGCCTCTGCTAGGAGGAAGCAACCAAGATAGAAGAGGGAGCTCTCTCAGTCTACTGGCTAGCACCAGTGAGAACCATCATTCATTCTTTGAAAGAGTGTGTCCTGAGTACTTTGCACCAGGCACTGGTCTATAAAAGTGAGCCAAAGCGGATGCATTCCATACTCACAAGTACCAGGCTGTGCCTTCATTTCAGATGTCTGGGACTTGGTGAATGTGACTGGCAGGGGTGTGGAGCCATGCCTAGGCAGACCCTCATCTCAAACCCATTAGCTTCCTAGCAGGTGCCGTTTGGTGAACACTTTCTACTGCGTGCCAGGCACTGGTGAGTGCTGTAGTGTATTCTCATTTAGTTTTCTTCCAGCCCTCCAAAGATGCTACTATCCTCCCTGTTTCATAGACAAGAACATTGAGGCTCAGAGGGATTGGCCCAAAGATCACAGGAGATAACTAGGAAAAATAGATGTCAACCTCTAAAGTGATTTGCCTTGGGGGGCATCTTTACCCAGAGATGGTGTATCTGGGGTACCTTGCTTCTCAAGCCCAGTCACAGGCCCCCTGGGGACACAGTGCCCCTGCAGTGTGCTCCAGCTGTTGTGATTTCAGACTCTGAATGCTCTCGCTTGTAGGGGAGAGGAGCCAACTGTGCAGTTTCCTCTCACTTATGACCAAGGAGACTAATTAGGCCCCTAGCAGTGCATCCCCCACATACCCAGACATAGTGAAATCATTTTCCATAGAGGGCCCAGTTGCCTTGCTCCAGGGGGGGGGGCGCCGTCAGGACTGCTAGTCCTCTCTCATCTCCAAGTGTTCAGTTGGGGAGCCAGAGGTCCCAGCCCACCCCCCAGCTGGAATCCAAACTCCTGGCTCCTTCATTCCAGCCTCAGTAGAGGCAAAGGGACTCCAGCCCTCAGACCCTCATCTCAGCTCCTTTCCCCTTGTGGCCTCTCAGGGCAGACGTTTGTTTCTCTGGTCCCCCTACACCCCCACTCTTCTCCTACCTTGGGGAGATCTGTTCTCAGTCAGGAAAGGAATAAGGGCATTTTTCCATTTGGATGAGTTTCTTTGTGTGTGTTTATTAAATTCAGCTTGAGCTGAAAGATTTTATCACATTGTCTAAATGGAGACAGCTGCTGTACTGAGTTTCTTGGTGCATTTCTGCAAGTGACTTAAGAGTGAGAAGTCTTTTCCTCTGGGTACCAACAAGGGCAAGTTTCAAATTTTCAAGTTGGCAGATAGTCTGAGAGGCCTACTATGTGCCAGGCCTTGGAGAGAGAGGATGAAGAATGGGCTCCTTTTCTCACTGGCACAAGCCACAAGGGTTCCATGACCACATCTGATATTTGGTTGTAACTGATGAACGCCTCACTGCCCTGGACCCCAGTGTCAGGTACCATTGATGGGTCTTCATGTTGCCATTTCTAATCTTGCAGCTGTAGGAGAACCATGGATTTTAGAGTAGGGCTTTCCAACATGAGCAATACGTTAGAATCACTAGGTTTTATGGATTCCAGAGATTCTGATTGAGTAGTTCAGTAGTAGGGTTCAGGAAAGTGTATGTTGAAGATGTATCCCTGGTGAATGTATTTGGAAATAACTGCTTGAGCTAGCTTCACCTTCTGCATTATCCTTGCACACCTGTACCATGCAGAAAGCGAGTGTCGTGTAATTCCCAAGAAACTCTGGCTGTGAGCCTTCACCTTTAATTACTTGGGGCAATTCAGAGTGAATACCCACAAGAGTTTGGAAGAAATATTATCCAGTCCAGACTCAACCAATGAAAACTACAAGAATGAAAAGTGGAGCTGCTTCATCAGGAAAAAATCAGTTTCTGACCTTGTTGGGTTTCTTTTTTCTTCCCTTTTTGTATTGGTTTTAGTACCTGCATTTGCATTTTTCCTTTTTATTCCATAAAAAAACAAGAGGAGTTCTTTTCCAGGTGGTCATAATTCTTTCTTCTAGATCTCATAGTTGCAAAGTGAGACAAGGCTTGCTCCATTCACCATTTCCCCTGCAATACCAGAATACTCCCAGGCCATTAGGCTAGGCTTGCTGGAGCAGAAGTTCTTAGGAACCAGTTATTTCAGAGTGAATGCCAGCAAAACTGTAGATGTAGTGGCTTAGGGTTTCTGCCAGTTCCAATTAGCCCCTGTGTGTGTTCACTGCCCAGCCACCTGCTTCTTTGTGAAAGCTGGCCAGAAGTCAGAGGAATTTAGCAACCAACCACGAGGGGCAGGCAGTTCTGCAGTATCCACAACGAAGTTAAATAGAATTTGAACCAAAACACTAATTTAAGTAATGCTGTCTAGAGTCATTATTTTGTCTGGTTAAATTCTGAATCCATTAATTTAAGCCACAGTGTTAAAGCATAAAAACTGAGAGGGGTTTGGTAACTGTAGATTGCTAGGATTCAGCCTTGCATCTTCTGATCTGAAGGCCAGAATAGGGCCAGAAATCTTCATCACTACAAAAGCATCTCAGGTGATTGTGATGTAGGTGGTGGGTGAACCACACTTTGGGGAATGCAGCACTAAACCGTAAACTCCATGAGGTCAGAGGCTATATCACTTTAATTCAAGTGCTTAACCCAGAGCCTAGCATGAAGCTGATACTCAGCCCATTTTGTTTAATAAAAGGATTTAAAGTGCATGAATGAACAAACCAACAAGTTAAGCAAGCGTATGCTCAGAGGCAGCTGAAATAGATGACAAGTAAGTGATTTGATGTGACTTCTGATGCTTAATGCAGACAAAAAGTGGACCCTTTAATAGACTCACTGTCTTCCTCCTAATAAAAGGAAACCACGCTTAAATTTTCCCCCCACTTTTTAGTTAAGACTCTACCCTATATTTTAATTCTAAATATAGAATTAATATATTTGTTTCGGAGACATTTTTTCTTCTCAAGCACATTTTTGATCAGAACATACCAGTGTAATTTTTTTTTTTTTCAAATCTTAGCTAAACTCGTTGAAGAACTTTAAAACTTTTTTTCTCATTCTAGGAGCAAACCCGGATGTTGGAAATTGGGATAACTGGCCCCGAAGGACATGTTCTAAGCAGACCAGAGGAGGTATGTTACAGGGCTGGAGGCCTAGGGGGTGGGGAAGGGGAGACAGAAGCAGTAGCAATGGGGGCTCTCTTTTTTACCAGCATCTTCTGGGAGACTCTTCTTATCACAGTCCTGGCCACCTAGCCATGGCCTGCCACTCCTTTGATTTTGAAGTGTTTCTGTTTGATCTTTTTCCTGAGCCACAAGTATACAAAGGTAGGAGTAAATATTGCTGAAAGGTGGTGAGAATTTATAAATACCAGACAGCAGTATTGGAACATTTCTTTCAAAGACTACTTTGGACTGATCCTGGCTCAAGGGCTGTGAGAAAATTAGAAAGGAATGTAAAGGAGATACTTCCTTTTGACCCCTTAATCTCTCTAAAGATAATACAAGTTGCAGTGTCCTCGGATTTTCAGTAGGAATGTTAAGTTTCTAATTTCTTTCTTCATCATTGTGAATCTTGGAGACATTTGTACTTATTCTTTATTTCATTTTGTGTTTTGAGTCTTGCAAAATTTTGCCCGTGAGTTTTTCACAGGGACCATGCCCATTGATTTGCATAAGGTGATGATTATATCCTGGTATGGAAGTTTCCCACATATAAAATAAATGATGATGTGCACCTATGTTTAGCAGCTGAAGAGCCAGTAACTAGTGACTAGTGACTAGTGACTGATTACATTTCTCTGGGATGTCCACAACTTACCTGCTGGCATGGGGCATAGAGCTGAGGCTGCCATACGGCTGCAACTTGGCTTTGGGACAGCAACCAGGGACAGGTACCTGGAGTGAATTTAAAGCTCTTCATGTCAGTGAAGCAAATCCTGTTTCTGTTGTTGTTCCAAACTATACAAGAGGTAAAAGAAAGAATCAAAACCAGAAAAGATGCCATTCCATTGCACATTGCTTCTAGAGCTTTTTTAAAAAATTGAAATGTAATCAACAGATACAGAAAATTGTTCCTGTCATAAGGATGCAATTGCTTTTCACAAATTGGATACACTTGTTCAAGAAGCACACAGGTGTGATAGAGAACACTATCAACTCCCAGAAACTCCCTGGTGTCTAATAACATTTTTGTTGCCCATTGAAATAATGTATAAGTTTGTGATCGGGATTCTAATTGTACAAGGTGTTCCTGAGAAGTCTGTCTCTTTAGTAATTCTGGGTGCTTTGGAAAGCTTACACACCTGACTGAGTCTGTAGTAACTGCATAGATTACCTCAGTTATCCTTGCTGCTGCTCTAGGTAGTTGGCATTGTATTGCACAGGTAAAGAAGCTGAGGCTCAGAGAAGTTAAGCCACTGACTGATCATGTTTGAAGGATTGGAAAATCATTTATGCAGTGTGAGCAGGCCAGAATGATCAGCACTGTTTGTGAAACTTTGTAAATGCTGGTCACTGGAGAGAGGTGCTGGCAAGACGGATTTCTTCAGCAGAAGCCAGGGGATTTCAGAACAAAGTCTATTTTTGTTCCTTGGTTTGTTTTTTCAACCTCCTCCCCACCCCCACCATCCCAACCTTCTCTCCTTTCCGTCCCCTTTTTTTTAAAAAAAAAAAAAAAAAAAAAAAAGCCTCTGAACTGCAAATCTCTACAACCCTGGAAACCCTTTTGGGTGAAGTTGGAAGGTGATGTAACCTTCCAAAGATAGTCATGTTGTCGAAGTGTGGAAGAACCTGCAGTTCTGGAGGGAATGACATCAAAGGGGTCAGGGCTGAGGTCAAGGGGGAGCTGAAGTGGTCAGCAAAGGCGTGAGGGGGTAGGAATGAGTGTAGGAGGAGCTGACCCCTCTTCAACTCAGAGCACACGCAGATTCCATCTCAAGTGATGCTGTTCAGAGTAGAACCCCACGCACAGAGCAGCCGCTCCTGGGTAGGGCCTCTGGGTGCTTCAGATGGGAGACTGCATTCACCTGCGCTAAGGGGCCTCCAGAATCTTGTCTGCATGGAATGAAGTGCAGCTTGAGGGTCGCCAGCTCAGTCATCAAGTTCCTGGAGCCTTTCTACTGATCTGCATCCACCACAAATAGTCACTGGTTTGCATTATACAACCACTGGGCATCTGCAAGCTATTTTTGGTGTTTTTTTTTTTTTTTAAAGCACTGGGCTGCACTAGCAAACCAGAAAGTCATATCCATACAAAAGGGATCTGTTGCTGATTGAATGGAAAAATGCCAATGTCTGCTCTGGGCTCAATTGAACTAACTGGGGCTTTGGGTAGTAACACAGACTCTCACCTGGTCAGAAACTGTGATCAGCAGTAAGACCTAGAGCCACTCCTCAAGGGACACTTGCTTTGGCCCACGAGTGGGAGGATTAACTCATTTAATCCTCCCAGCAGCCCTGATTGACAGGTCCTGTTAGTATCCCCACATCAAAGACAAGGAAATAAGGTATTGAGAAGTTGTGCAAGGTACCTGAAGTCACACAGCCTGAAGCAGAATCAGGACTCAGAATCAGGCCATGCGAGAGAGCCTGAGCTCTCGGATCCTACTTTGTTAATAAAATAAGGGAAAACACATTACTTCTTGCTTAATAAATGCAACTGGGTTACTTAGCATATTTGAAAACTTGAATTCTACACTAGGGTGGGATGGAAGAGATCAATAATAAAAGAAGTCTTTGTGCTGAGAAGCCTGGGAATTATTTTTATAAGAAATGCCTCCTCGAATTAACCCTTTGCTGACCACCTATTGCTGCAGGGAAGGATTTGAGGAGCCACATGCCTAATTGCCTTTACTGGTTATTCCAGAGTGGATGGTGTGGTGATTGTATTTTTCCAAAGAATTTGCCCTGAGAAGAATAGGGAGCAGAGGCCTCCGTTTGGGTGCAGTATTTGTGATACCCCAGGGAAAGGAGAGAGGAGGTACAGGGAGAACTCTGGCTTTCGGGAGATCAGTACTTTCTCTGTTAAGTGATGATCTCAGGCAGCAGTCCTGTGCTTCACCCTCTCTTACCTCCATTTTACCAGGGAGGGTGGAAGCACCAAGGAGCTAAGTGAAGAGACACAGCAGGAGGGGGTGGGTCTGAGGCCATCCTGTTCCAGACCCTGCCAGGGTTTGAACCTCTGCATTGCTCACAGTATGTGGAGGTGCTGCGTGACAGGGGTGAGGCTCAGGTTCCTATTGACTCCTGGAAACCTTCTTTTTTCCTGCAGCTGGAAGCTGAGGCTGTGTTCCGTGCCATCACCATTGCCAGCCAGACCAACTGCCCCCTCTACATCACCAAGGTCATGAGCAAGAGTGCAGCTGATCTCATCTCACAAGCCAGGAAAAAAGGTGATTTGTGCTTCTAAGATCTCAGAGCCAGTGATGTACTGCAAAGCCCCTTTCCTCCCTGGCTGGTCCATCCTTCCCTCCCTGGCTGGTCCATGTAATATCAGTGCTCACTGCCTTATTGCCTTGCTCTCTAGAGAGCCTCTGCTACACCCAGGATCTTGAGATTTCTTCCACCTGTATATGAGCAAACAGAGGCAGTGATTTGTCTAAGACAACACAGCTCAAATCAGTTCTTCTGAGACTCAGTGCACCTTCCTTCCTCTTTTTGATCTGTCATTTTCGGTTCACATTATCTGAACTTTATAAATGGACTTTTTAGTCTCCATTGCACTGATTACCCCCAACTGGCTTCAACAAGCAAACAGAAGTCAGTGGTTGGTTGTGGGTATTTCAGGCATAGATCGATTGAGGGGCTTCAACAGTGGCATTAGGTCTCTATCAATCTTATTCCCTTCTTGACTCTCTTTCCTGCCTGATGGCTTTATGTTCAGTAGGTGACAAGAATAGAAGCCAGGAGACACCTTTTTTCTTCAGTTCTTGGTGAGACATGATGGAGAAGTAGAACACATCTTTTGCAGCAGCTCAAGCAATAATGTCCAGGAGCATGTAAATGTCTTGGTTGTGACCATATTCACATCACTGCACCAAAGACAGCTGTGGGGATGGATGGTCTAATGTGGCCAGGATTGGGGGCAGAATGCAGGGACAGGGCCCCACTGCCTGAGCACACAGTTTAGCACAAGGTATTTTAGCAAAGGGGCTGAATGGGTCTCCAGAGGATGTTTAAAACCATGGCTTCATGACCTGGGGCTCTATCCCTGTCAGCTTCTGCCTTCTCCTTTTCTCCACTCCTGTTTACTTGGGTTTCAGTTGCTTGGCTTGTGCTTAGCTTAAGTGTACTCCCATTTCAAAGCTCTCGGTTTTTGGTCCCTGGGCTTGATTGTGAAGTCGGGGAAATGAATGGTATGGTGGAGAAGCTGGAGATAAAGGTTCTGTGTTTGGTTGTGAAAGAGAATTGACCTTGCCTAGTTGTTCAGTGGCTACTGCTGTGTAGTGTCAGTGTCCGCCCTGGTGGTGGAGAGACCCAAGATGAGTGATTCATCTGCCCAACTAGTCTAAAAAACTCCATGTGTGGGTGAGTGACTGGAGTGGCTAAGAATAGTCCCAGCTGATGGCCAACTGGGTTTTCAACTGCCTGGCCTCTGGCTGAGAGTAGTCCCTTTCTTATGGGAAGGAGTCTTATCACTTGTCTGAGGTAGGTTCTGAGGCATCTTCAACCTCCTCATGTTCATACTAGACTTGCTGTTTTCTCTTGCAGTATTTAAATGCCTCCAGTGAAATAGCAGTTGTTCCCCTGGGTGGTGTGAGTCATTGGAAAGCAGGAAAGCAGCCCAATGTTCTGTACCCATTCTTGGTGGTGGAGACAGGGAGAGAGAAAGGAGAAACTGTATGGGGGCCCCCATCCCTACCACGCTGGCCATAAACACCCACCATCTTCACCCTCTCATGCCTTCTGTCTGATGGCTTTATCTTGCCTGGGACTCATCACCAGGATATCCTGGGCACCCCGGAGCATGGGACATTTCAGTTGTATGCTGGTCTTATTTCAAACTTCATAGAGAAAATTCCTCCTCCTTAGTCTTCTGGCTCCTGATTCTCTGGCAAGAGAACTTGTGCAGCTGTGCCTCCAGGGTGGAAGGGAGGTCCTATTTCAGTGATGAAAAACTGGCTGCTGAGATTGAAGCCAGTAAACATCTCATAGATTGTCATTCTCAGGGAAGAGCCTTCCAAGCAGGAAGGCAGAGGCTCACAGTGCTTACTCTTCCCTTCCTGACCGTGTTTCTGTTTAAGTTCTTGTAAGTTTAATCACCTACCACCAGGACTCTTAAGCAGCTCAGCATGGCTGCCCAGAATTAATATTAAAAAGCTACAATTTAATGAGAACCAACTCTAATACCCAGCACTGAGATAAATACTTTATATTTATTATTATGCAGAATTCTTAAGGAACTCTGAGGCATGTGCTGTGGGCACTGCCATCACCCTTTTCATTTGTAGGAATTGTAGTATGACCTGTTTAGATGTCCCAGGTAGGAGAGCTAGTACTCCTAGTGACAATCTTTGTTTTTTATATTTCCATGCTAAGTGTAGCCCAAAGAGACAGTTCCTCCATTGTTAAGGTTGCATTTTTTCTCAATAGTAGTTGAGTGCTTGCCTTGAATTTCTTTTTTTTTTTTTAATGGTCAAAAACCACTTTTATTTATTTTTTTATTTTTTTTATTGGTTGTTCAAAACATTACAAAGCTCTTGACATATCATATTTCATACATTAGATTCAATAGATTCAAGTTGGTTATGAACTCCCAATTTTACTCCAAATACAGATTGCAGAATCACATCGGTTACACATCCACATTTTTACATAATGCCCTATTAGTAACTGTTGTATTCTGCTACCTTTCCTATCCTCTACTATCCCCCCTCCCCTCCCCTCCCATCTTCTCTCTCTACCCCATTTACTGTAATTCATTTCTCTCCTTGTTTATTTTCCCATTCCCCTCACAACCTTTTATATGTAATTTTGTATAACAATGAGGGTCTCCCTCCATTACCATGCAATTTCCCTTTTCTCTCCCTTTCCCTCCCACCTCATGTATCTGTTTAATGTTAATCTTTTCTTCCTGCTCTTCCTCCCTGCTCTGTTCTTAGTTGCTCTCATTATATCAAAGAAGACATTTGGTATTTGTTTTTTAGGGATTGGCTAGCTTCACTAAGCATAATCTGCTCTAGTGCCATCCATTTCATTTTTTCACTTATTTGTGGTCCTGCATACTTTAGTTTGGTCAATATTTTTAGAGAGCTCTTGAAATTCTCCTAAGTTACATGTTGATCCTTTTTATGGGCACCCCATAAAAACAGGGCTGCTATATGCAAATCACACCATTGCTTTCTTCTCTTGCCTATGGCAAACATCACTAATCAATCAGAAATCTATTTTAGTGAGACCAGAAGCATTATTAAGATTCTTCCCTACCTATAATTCTAGATAACCATTACCAATTGATTGGAATTGAAACAAAGCAAAATTTCTTGATAATCCTGGCCATAGAGCCTCCCAGAATGTGACCATATACAAACTTTGATGGTGAAAGATGGATGACCAAAGACTGAGGGTTTATACAAAGCATCCTTGGCCCAAGGTGCTGGCATAGATTAACTTGGTACCAACCAACTTTCTATGAGACATCTTTTGCCTTCTGTATCATTGTCTCTTCTTCCTTAAGAAGCTCAACTAAAGCTTAGATCAGTGTATTTTCTATTTTCCTTCCTCACCTGATTCCCCTGGTTCCCGTCACAGATTTCCAGAAGCCAGCCTCATCATCTATGGCCACATGTCAGGTGTTTGGGTCTCCTGGAGCAAGTCACTTCTTTCCTCAGATTAAGAAGTAACAAACTCAATGAAAATACTCATGAGAGCTCATGGATTTGACTTTCTGGAAACAAAAGTGTGATCTTATAAAAAAGAATCTAGCAATTCCCATTGATGCAGGGCACATTCAGGGCTTTGAGCCCTATAATGGAAAAAAAGTGGGAGGTAAAGAAATATGTATTTCCTGAGAATCACCTGTGTGCCATATCCTTCATATCTGAAAAAATCCTTTAATTTAACAAGCCTGGGAAGTAGACATCATCTCATTTCATCCATTCTAGGGCGTACCTTGCATTTCAATATTTCTGAAATAAGGATGAATCTTGTAATAAATATATATTTTTCTTTGCCTCAAATTTTAATTTTCCTCAAAATTTGTGGATTAATACTGCATCTAACATTCTTTCTATCCAAGTAATATGAAATTCCTCACATTTAGCACAAAGAAAAAAAAAAAGCCTAGAAAAGGTGGGAATGTGGACTTGAACCCAGATCTGCCTAACAGCAGAGCCATAGCCTTGGGTAGGCTTAGGAGCTATGATTAAATATGGCTCAGTGCAGCATATACTTAATGCAAATCCATTGCCTATTTCCCCCCTTCCAGGAAACGTGGTCTTTGGAGAGCCCATTACTGCCAGCCTTGGTACAGATGGAACTCATTACTGGAGCAAGAACTGGGCCAAGGCGGCTGCATTTGTGACATCCCCGCCTCTGAGCCCTGACCCGACCACTCCTGACTACATCAACTCCTTGCTAGCCAGGTTGGTGCAGGATTGTAGAGCTGCAGGGGTTTTGTGGGGGCATCTTGGGGCCAGCTGGGATGGGGGCTGCAGTTGTTCCGTCCACCAGCTAGAAGTTCTCCTGCAGGCTTGAGTACAGAACACAGGCTCTCCCCCATTGTATTTCAAATGATAATACAGTCACAATGTGGGTAATGGTCACAGCAGTGAATACCTGTGTGTGCCCAGCTAGGATGAAACTCCACACATGATCTCACTTGCTCTTCCTAGCAACTTTACAAGTGAGGCTCTGCTATCCCCAATTTACAGATTAAGCAACTCTAAGCCAAAAAAGTTAAAATAATTTGCCTAAATTCAAATAATCAACCATGATGACACTTAGCCAAAATTATAGGGATACTCATTTGTTGCTCTGTGTACATGTAAGATCAGGCCATCACTCCTTTGAGGTCCTTTGGTTTTGCTACAAATGAGATGATCTCATCCCACCCCCTCACCTTCCAGATGAGGTAACTGAGCCTACAGAGGGGAAAAAAGTTCATCCAAGCTCACACAGACAGTAAGGATTAGGAAAGGGATTTCAAACTCTGGCACTGGACACTGGACTCTGGTCCCCGTGGGGCCCCAGCCATACCACCTGTTCACACAGAGCTCTTCTCCTTTTCCAGTGGGGATCTTCAGCTCTCTGGCAGTGCCCACTGCACCTTCAGCACTGCCCAGAAAGCCATTGGGAAGGACAACTTCACTGCCATTCCTGAGGGCACCAATGGTGTGGAGGAGCGGATGTCTGTCATCTGGGACAAGGCCGTGGTAAGGGACTGAGGTCATGGGACGGTGGCCAGGACCCAAATATCCATGGGCCAGATCAGAGCCTCCTGTACCAACCAAGCCTGAGGCACAGCTCCTCCAGCCTGCCCTGGGGAGGAGGCTCAGGGTTTGGGTTGTAGGGACTTACCTTCTAGTGATGAGTCCTGAGGTCTAGGATTCTAAGGAGACCTTCATCTAGAATGTTAAGAATTCAGAACCAAACACACAGTTCTTTCACCTCCCTGCATGCGATTCATCTGCAGTTAGAATACCAGTGAATTAATTCTTTTCATTTGGAGCGTTCTATGGCTTCTTTTGAAAGGTCTACACATAGCACTTTGAAATGGTAAGCAGTGATTCTGTACCCAGTCATCCTGCTCATCAAGGATGCCCTGTATTGCGAGCATGAGATCATCCAGGCTGCTGTTTACCAATGTCTCTGGCAAAGTGGCCTCACTTTTTAATTGTCCTCATTTACATCACAAGGGCTGGTAAAAGAAATAGCCAAGTAAATAAAGACCTCTCCAAGATTTTAGTAAATTGACTGAAACATCATTAATAATAAATTCATTATTAAGTCAATTACTTCCCTATATTCAGCACCAAATAGAATACATATGAGCTAGTGCCCCATTCATCTACATAGTTAACCCATGGACTCACTTCTCTTCTCGGTCCCCAAGAAGCTCAAGGCTAGCCTTTAAATGCAGTTCCTTCCTTACTCAGGCTTTTTATTGAAAAGGTAAAATATGAAACCTTTTGTCTCTTCTTTCACATAGTTAAGCTTCTGTATTTTTTTTACACTGTTCTGTATTTGTGAATGTATGTACATATGTATGTAGGTATGTATGCATGCTGGCACTCTACAGATTTGTTTAAAAGTAATACACATCCTCCTGTGCTGCATAATGACATTTAGGTCAATGATGGAGTATATAAATGGCCCTGTAAGATGATCTCACTTACTGATAGCCCAGCTTGGTTTGTGTAAGTACACTCTATGAGGTTCACGCAACGACAAAATCACCACCAACAGTTTTCTCAGGACATATCCTCATTGTAAAGTGATGCATAACTATATTTTGGAGTTGCCAATGTAATATATGCTTAATAAAAAACACTTGGAAACCTCAGACAAGCATGTACATGAAAAAAAAAAAAACCTCAAAATTCTGCAACCCAGGGGTAACTATTATTGTCACCGAGGATCTTGTATATTTGTCCTACGAGCACATAAATACACACACACATATCTAAAAAGTCACATCAAAATCACATTTCTTTTTACTGTGAACTCTGTCTAATCCTTTTTGGAAATATAAGAGGTAAATAAGTAAATGTATATACATATCCAGAAAATGCATTCTGCTGGAGCATTAACTTTCATCTTAAACCACGAGTTTACCCTCTTTGCCTGGTTAACATGACAGCCCAGCTCTTCCTGGTGAGGATTTGTGCTCACTAATTCATGGGTACTTCTTTGGATTTCTGATCCTCTTCCTTTGAGCCCAGAAGCCTCGCATTTGTTGATATAGAGAAAGAGATGGATATATAAATTTTTTGTATTTCAATAGGCCACTGGGAAAATGGATGAAAACCAGTTTGTGGCTGTGACAAGCACAAATGCTGCCAAGATCTTTAACCTGTATCCCCGCAAGGGAAGAATATCTGTGGGTTCTGACAGCGACCTGGTCATCTGGGATCCAGATGCTGTGAGGATTGTCTCTGCCAAGAACCACCAGTCGGTGAGTGTGGGCTGGCCAGAGTGCAGGGATGGAGAGTGCCTGCAGAGAGCTTGGCCATGAGAAATTCGTTTGTGTGGTGTGCCAGCATACTTAGTCCAGGGAGGGCTGCAATAATGACCCATTCCCAGATCTTAGTGGCTTAAAACTTAAAATGTTTGTTTCTCATTTCTGCTTTCCAAAGTGGCACGGCAACAGAGGGACTGTGTCACTCAGGGATGGACAATGATGGTGTCTCCACCTCTGCCCATACTCCTGTGATTGCTGAGGCTTAGACAGACTCTATGTTTTGAGAGGAGGGGAAAATATAAATATTTTTGTCACATTCCTATTCATGTGGAAGATAATAATCAAACCTAATACCTTCAAAAAATACTTATTAGTAAAATAGCAAATATTTTTTTTTAATATTTATTTTTTAGGTGTTGATGGACACAACACAATGCCTTTATTTTTATGTGGTGCTGAGGGTTGAACCCGGGTCCCTCCCGTGCTAGGCGAGCAGCACTCTACCACTGAGCCACAATCCCAGCCCAATAGCTAATATTTTTAAGCATTTATGTTTCAGGCACTGTGCTTTTAGCTCATTGAATTTCCAAAACACTCTCCCACAGACAGGTACTTTTATTACCCCCATTTTATAGATAAGGAAATGGAAGTACAGAGAAATTAAATAATGTATGCAACAAGTCAATGGTGAAGCTAACATTGAAACCCAGACAACATGACTGCAGCTGATGTCCTTAACCACTTTGTAGTAATGTATCTCCCTTGTTGCATAAGCAAAGCAAGTAGGGAGAAACCCATTCTGAGTGGTAACAGTCTTTGCTTAAACATCACGTCATGTCACATAACATGATTTTGAGCCAGCAGGGACCCACGTATTCCCTCAATCCACGCTCTCAACACAAGACTCCATGTATAGCAGCCCTGGTGGTTTTTCAGTTTCTCTTTGAATACTGCCAGCAACAGAAACTGACTGGTACTTGAAGATCTTTATCAAGTTTGGACACTTTTCTTTGCTAGAAGCCCAGTCTTTATACTTTGTAAGCATCGGTTTCCTGGTGCCTTCTACCCATGACAGCTTGCAGACACACTGTGAGCTATTCCTGGCTTACCTGGTGACCCATTTCCTAGGGACACTGAAGGCAACACAAAAGGTAACCTTGGTCTTCTTTTCCTTTCCCTACACCCATGCTGTTGCTTTGCCTCACCTGTCTCTAGGCTGCAGAATATAACATCTTTGAAGGGATGGAGCTGCGTGGGGCACCTCTGGTCGTCATCTGCCAGGGCAAGATCATGCTGGAAGATGGCAACCTACATGTGACTCAAGGGGCAGGCCGCTTCATCCCTTGCAGTCCATTCTCCGACTATGTCTACAAGCGCATTAAAGCCAGGAGGAAGGTAAGGAGCAGGTGGAACCCCAGAGGTGGGGCAGGGGCTGTGTGTCCCTTTCAGGCTCAGGGATAGTGACCACCACGAGTTTCAGAGGGGCCTGCGTTCTCCAGACCCTGATAAAGAAAACTATAGCAGTGATCTCATCTTCAGGAACAATACACAGACTTAACATGCTATGGAAGGGAGTTTGAAAACATTTTGCAAAAAAAAAAACAACAACTTTTTTCCAAATGACTTCCCTATATTTTATAGTGCTTTTATTTAAAAGAATTTAAAATTTCAACATTGCACTGTAATATTAGTTTATTTTTAATAAAAACAAATTACTCTTACAGGCTTAAAATGAGAAGTAGTCTGCACCTCCCTGTCCCTGTCCCAGCTGGCCCAGGATTGCTTCACAGGGGCAAATGCTCACAAACTTGAGTTATTGGGGTCAAGTAAAATCCTATTAATGTCCCTGATTTCACACATACACACACACACACACACACACACACACACACACACACACGAACACAGGTGGCTCTAGTTAACTGAGGGATGAATGGGAAAATTCCTTTTCCCATTCGTTCTCCTCCCCTCTTCACTCTCCAGACTACCCTCCTATAACCTTAATCCAAAGCAAGATTAGAGGAGCCCTGAGATTGCAGAATTTGAGCTCCACATTCCAGGTTTGTCCTGATTGAGAAGGGAATGAAACTCAAACTTCCCTAATATCAACTCTTTCTATTAATGTGACTTAGATTCTGAAACCAAAGAAAAGCTGATGATCTGGAGTTCTTGGTTTGGGGAGAACAGATACAGTCATCATTCCATGTGTCATTAGCTTCTGCAGATTAATGAGCTTGGCTCCTGTGCCTGCTCTGAGTCACTGGCATGGAGGGAAGGATGGGCAGCAGCACCCCCTTGGAATTCTGCACTGACCCATGCTGGACTGTCAAGCTCGCCTAGCAGTGGGTCTTCCCTGCCTCCCTCAGGGCCCTGCTAAGACCTAGGTGGAGGTTGCCAGCCGACTGTACTGCTGCTGTGGGTGGTCTGGCAGTGTTTGTCTAATAGACTGTAAGCCCCTTTGGGGAAGGCATTGTGTTTCATGTGACTGTAAACCCCAACCCTTGGCACAAGGCCCAGCACAGAGTACTTGGTTGATGTTGCTGGCTGGCTCCACAGTCCAGGGCAAGTTCACAGCCACAGCTAGAGGTCAGTGGGTCAGACCACAGACAGACTCAAACTTCAGGGCCAGCCAGCTCGTCTCTGTGCTGAAGAAGAGCTCCCTTGTGATCCCATCCTGGCCAGCATGTCCAGCCTCACATCATACTGCCGCCCTTCCTAATCGCTGCACTGCAGCTGTGTGATGTTTCTTACACCCCACAACATCTCTGCGTTCAGCTCTTGGTACTTGCCGATCCTCTGCCATCCACACCACTCCTCTGCATCCCCCCACTGGCTTCTCCCACCTCCAATCCCTACCCCATAACAGGGTCTTTGGATCCTTCAGAGGCAAGCTTGTCTTTCTAGAGGGCCCCTCAATGACCTCCTCCATGACACCTGCTTTATTTTGCACTAGTTCTCCCTTCCTTGAAAGTACCTTCGTTATCATTATTATATCCTGGTGCCCCACCCCCAACACACACTATTCACCGATACACTTATGCAACCTAGAGCAGACCCTAAATTGTTGAATGCTGATGTGTTTCTCTGGCTGCAGATGGCGGACCTGCATGCCGTCCCAAGGGGCATGTACGATGGGCCTGTGTTTGACCTGACCACCACCCCCAAAGGGGGCACCCCTGCGGGCTCTACCCGGGGCTCTCCCACTCGGCCAAATCCACCTGTGAGGAATCTCCACCAGTCCGGATTTAGCCTGTCAGGTGAGTGGGACAGGTTGATCCAGGGAGGAGAGAAGGAGGAGGGGAATGTCAGTGTGCACCCTTGAAGCTAGAGTGTGATCCTAAGAGCTCAGCCTGAGTGTTTTCCAGCCCAGAGCTGGGCACAGTCTTTAGGGAGAAGGTTACTAGGGCAAACAGGAAGGTTTGCTCTATCGGTGAGGGTGAAAAAAAATCAGACAAGCCACAGTCAAGTTAGAGATCAAGTTCAAACGATGACAAATTCTGCTCAGAGATCAGACCTGGCTGGGGTTAGAAGCAGGGCAGAGGAGTTGATTTCCACTATGAAGTGATTTTCTACATTAACCTATGAGAATTGGGCAGTATGTTGTGTGTGGGGGGTGTTTTTTTGTTTTGTTTTTTTTAAAAAAAACTGTTCAGGGTTAAAGAACACTCAGACTATTTTTATCCTTAAATAGCAGTAGCTTCTTTTTTTAAAAAAAATTTTGTTTTAGTTGTTCAATGGACCTTTATTTTATTTATTTATACATGGGGCTGGGGATCAAACCCAGTGCCTCACACATGCCAGGCAAGTGCTCTACCACTGAACCACAACCCCAGTCCAGCAATAGCTTCTTTTAATGTAGGATTTTTATTCTAGTCTCCCTTCCCTAGTAGTAACAATGCTAATGGTAGTTTCGATTGATTGGACATTTACCATGTGTTGCCTATATTATTAATCTTTTCTTTAAGAACGTTTCTACAAATAGAAAATAATCATTCAAGGGCTGGGGCTGTAGCTTAGTGGTAGAGCACCCACCTTGCACTTATGAGGCACTGGGTTCTATCCTCAGCACCACATAAAAATAAATAAAGATATTGTGACCATCTACAACTAATATATATATATATATATATATGAAATATATATATATATATGTATGTATATGAAAATAATCATTCAATTGCTCCATAATGAATAGGATTCATATGGGGAAAAATGTAGATTTGCATCTCTACAACACACTATTTAAATGTGAGAGAAGCAAGATAATATGAAAGAAAAGATATATTTAAAGGGAAAATCTCAGTCTATAGGGAAAGGAAAATCAGTGAAGAATGGAAGAAGCAGGAAAAACAGGGAGGAAAAGAGATGAGAGAAGTAGAGAAAGACAAAGGAAAAGTGCTTAAGATTTTATGAATCTTTGCCAGGGGTCCGGACGTCCCAGGAAACTTCGTATGTGTGTTGGACTCATTCCATTGCTCCCTGGCTCCCTTAATCCTTAAGCTTTCAGTGGCTCCTTTCTGAATGGATCCAGGCACAGGCTGATGCTTTCTTTTGTGTAGCTGCAGGGACCTGACCACCCCACTTCAAGCTGTGGGGTGTTGGGCAAGTGACTGCGGCTCTCACACTGGTGAGACTCCATGGGGTACCCCTTGAACTCTTCAACATGGCCAGCCACAATAATGCAAGCAGCTATCTTTCGTATCCTTATCATTGTTGTTCTTCCTAGTATTATTATGAGCCTTAGATGAAATCTAAATAAGAACTTGGCTGTTCCTACCAGAAGGTCATTTTCCAGGGGCTAGGGGAGTGCATATGAAAAGTTAAAAAAAAAAAAAGCTCCATCTAAGTTTCTTGGGAGATGAGGCCAGGGAGACACTTACTCTCTTACATTCTTTAATCAATTTATTTTTTACCATTACCCCTTCTCCACCACAGGCACCCAAGTGGATGAGGGGGTCCGCTCGGCCAGCAAGCGCATCGTGGCGCCCCCTGGAGGCCGTTCTAATATCACATCCCTGAGTTAAGCAACCTCTCCCTGAAGAGAGGGGCAGATGCAAGAAGAGATTTTTTTCCAAGCCAAAATGGTACACCAATGTTTAAGAAGGAAAGCGAATCCAAACGGCTGTGATCTAAAGAATCAATAAGCCTCAAGCCTTATGTTTCTCCATGTTACGCTCGCTTGCCTAGCTTTACGAATATTGCTTTGTTTTCTGTTTATGCATAGCCTTGGTTTGTTTGACCCTCTCCCTCATTTACATGCATGCAATCAGACAGGCCACTAAGGTAAAAGAGTCTGCTATATTATAGTGTTGAGAGCGTGTGTAGTGCTGCATCTTATGACAAGGGGACAGACAAAGCTGGGATGTCAGGAAAATGAACAAAAGGGACACAGATTATTTGGGGTGAGTGGGTGGTGGGAGCCCAGAGCAAGATGGAGGGTGCAGAGGGCTAGGGTAGGGCGTGTAGAAGGGAGGTGGGTGGGCCAGTTGAGCTGACGGGGTATTGTGTATTGTGTCGATGAAGCGTGTTTATTTTCATGAAAGGTGGTCACTTGTGGCAGCCCTTACTTTATCACAGTGCCCCAGGGTCTGCAGAGAAAGCGGGGATCTCTGGGTTCTGGACTTTGTCATGTCCCTCCCTAGTAGATTTTGTTCCTTTGAATGCTAATTAAAACGCCAAAACCCAACCATTTCTTCCACCTGCTTGATTATGCCAGTGTTTGCTGGGGCCTCTTTCTCAATGTTGCTTTCGAACCTTCTTTCCTGGTGGTGGGAAGGCCAGACTGGGAGAGAGCAAATGACACTTCTCTTCCTCTAGTCCTTTCTGTCTCTTTGGTGCTCTTGATAAGTAGTAGCTGAGAGCAAAGCACAGGTCTTCAGCATGGAGGGCCGCAGAAACCTAAGTTCACTTCCCTATAGACATGGGAAAAGTCACCTCTCCACAGACGAGAAGAGCATGCGTCTGGCATCCTGAGACCAGATTTTAGCTTGCGTGGGGCAGAATGAAGGGCCTCTCTTGGCAGCAGTGAGTGATGCTCTTGATCTCCTGAGATCAGGCACAGCATGACTAAAAAGGAGTTATTCACTAACTTTCACTATGAAGAGGTAATCTCAGCTTATGTGGGAGTCAAGCAGGGATTTGAGAAAGCCAGTCTGGAGCAGAGGGAGCTCATTACATAACTTGGTTCCATTTTTCAATTCTAAACCATCTATTTCCTCTTCCATTAGCTGATCCTTGGGGGGGACTTTTAGTTTCGGTACTAAAATCTCTGAGGTGAGTGGAAGTGACGTGACATGGCCTTCCTGATGGTACACATAAAAGAAAGTAGCACCAATGTGTCCATTTCCTCTATCAGGCCACCTCTGAAAACTCAGTGATGGACCAAGTTCTATGAGCAAGGCAAGGATGTACAGAACTGAGAGACCCTTATGCAGGAAGAAAATATTCAACCTGGGATCCAACTTCCATGCCGTGGGGAATACAGCTGGTAGAACCCATAACTCTGTGTACTAAGTACTTTGAAGAGAAGAGCAGGCCTCAGACACCTTTTCAGTGCTTAGGAGAAACCATTACCTCTGACTGCATGTTCTGATTTTTTTGTGTGTGTGAGGTTTTTTTTTGGTCTGTTTTTTCTCTCTCTCCCTCCCTCCCTGCCTCTGGTGCTGGGGATGAAACCCAGGGTCTTGCACATGCTATACAAGCTCTCTACCACTGAGCCACACCCACCTGCCCCCTAGGCCTGTCTGCAGGTTTTAATAAGTTGAGAACTAGAGAAAAGTGAACACTTGACTACAAAATTATTTAGAAATACCTAAGGAAGAGTATTTCTCCAAGCAAGCTACTTTCTGTTCTAGTCATGAAAAAAAGACTTTCACCTCATAGTAGGGAATCTTGCTATTTTAAGGCTCTTATGGTGCTTTTTTTTAAGGGAAACTTAAATAAAAAGTAAAATGTAGCTTTAATTTACAATTCAAACATTTGGGGGCCTTTCAAGGAACTCAGAATGACTTTCATGTACAAAGGGAGTTTGCCAGATCTGAAACATACCTCAGGAGCCAGGCTGGGCTTTAGAATAAGCGGCAGTACCAGCCATGGCCACCAGATGGAGGAAAATACACATAAATAAACTAGTCTGAGCACCCACCTGCTGTTCACCACCATCTGCTCTGAGATTACCAGTCCTTGGCCCACTAATCCTTCCAAGCCCTCTCCATGCCATGAGATAAATCTTCCATGAGCAAATGGGTCATCTGTACTGCACTGGGAGTATTCACCCAGGACTTTCTATTCTACACAAACAGTCCATTCCGTAGGGAAAAAACCCTTGATGCTCAAGATGGGCAATGTTTTAGGAAGTCTCCCAATCAATCTCTCTTGCCATTAGTAACATTTAAGTATAGCAATTCCAGAGAATTCCTTGAATATACATTTTCAATGTATATTCAATTTTATTCTGTTCTATAGACGCATTGAACAGCCCTATACAAGGGGCTTGGGGGTGGGGAATGACAATGAGTCATGATGCTCTTCAAGTTCACTGGCATCTCATCCAAGTGTGGAGGGCTAACTGGGTCTTCAGTCTCACTCTCAAGATAGCTTTTTCCACCTCATCTCTTGGCCTGGCCCGTCTGTGAGGATGGCTTTGCCATCCCCCAACCTTCTTTCATTGTTTCTAAGCCCAGATGGAAATCCACTGGAGTCCTGGCTGAGAGGGTCATAGGTGTGGGTAGTTGAGGGGATATCTATGGAACTGTTGAATCAGCTACCCTAGTATGAATGTTTCTTTTTCTCCTAAGTTTCCTAAAACTAGTAGGATTATAGTTAACCTGAAAATGGCTTTTTTCAAAATCCAGTCATCCTTTGGCCTTTTGCTTTATGACTATACCCAGAGAGTCATTCTCACAAGGCCTGAATCCTTAGCCTGGACTCCATTTTGCTCACCCTGAGATACCCCTTCAATAGGGTGTATGGTTCCCAATCTTGGTTCTTGCCACAAGACTCCCAGGCCTTCTCCCCTGCATAACCCCAGCTTGAGTCCCAGTTGCGCTCACGGGCTATTCTGAGCAGCCAGTGTTCCTCATAAGCTCCCCCTTTGAGAAATGGTGTGTGGGTGTTCAGTCCTGTGCCTGGTGGATATGGACAGACAGTAAATCTCCCTGTGATCTGTGCTAGCTGTGAGGCAGCTCTGGAACGTGAAGAGCTGTTTGGTTTGAACCGTGAAGAAAACTGTGTATTGAATTAGCTGAGATTAAAGACAAAAAAGAAAAAGAAAAAAAAATTCATCAAGTGACTGTTAATGTAAACCTGGTTATTAAAATAACTATAAAATTACCAACATTGTTTTCCAGGACCCTTCTGTGTGTGATGTGTCTTTCTATCTACTACGTTAGAATTGCACAATAAGACTGAAATGGTTAGTCAGCCAGGCAGGTCTGACAAAAACAGAGTTATCTGGAGGAAAAAAAAAAATGTGTGTCTTATCTTTTCACTGAGTCGTTAGTTTGGGCCACAGAATTTGATAACATTATTGTAACTTTAGCAAATGATGAAATTTTTCTTTATGGACCATCAGAGTCAGTATCAGTGTAAAAGGCATCACCATGGAGAATTAACCTGGCAGAGTCCTGGATAGAACCTAAAAGGGTTGTTTTGTGGGTATTATTATTATTATTATTATTATTATTATTTTATCATCCCTTAAATCCTTGATATTAGCTTGCTTTCTAAGCATATTCCACTTCTTTTGAGAAAACTAGATTTTGATTAAAAACACCAACTAAGCATATGCCAAAGTATATTCTTTAGCAAACTGATCTCAGGGGTCAAATGAGTGCTTGAAAGGATTATTTGCTGTGTCTACTCCTAGGAGAACAGGAAGGTACATACCACAAGTTGAAGGCTGAGAAATCCTATGATGGAGGAGGCTTTAAAACTTTTTCCAGGGTTGGGGTGAAGCCCAGTAGATGAGCACTTGCCTCACATGCACAAAGCTCTGCAGTACATCCCCAGCACAGCAAATAAACACCACCCCCCAAAACAAACAAACAAACAAAGCCTTGTCCAAATCAGGGCTCTCAAACCTTTTGACTACTAATGATATCATCTTTTCACCTCCCACCAAACTGATTGTGCCAAACCCTTGTGGGGAAACCCTGCTGAATCCAGTTCTAATGTGTGCAGCTCATGTTTTCACTGGAAAGGTGACACTTGCAGAAGGGCGTGAGGGTGGAGGGTTAAAAGGAGGAATTTCAAAATCTACTGCAACAGAAAAGTCCAGGGATGGGCAGACTCAAGCCTGGCTGGGGGAAGTGCTGAATGCTGACATCTGAATGCTGCCTCTCCACCTTGGCCCTGCCTGGCTTGAGTGGGTGCTTCCTTCTGACTAAAGCTCTTTCCATGAGGGGGCAAAGCTGGTCATCAGCAGCCCCAAGCTTTTGTTTTACCTCTTAGTAACCTCAGAGGAAGGAGGCGGTTTCCCTCAGCAGTTCAGAAGAGGTTGACTCTGATTGGTCTGGTTGGATCACTTGTGTGCCATGAACCAGTCACTTGGCCAGAAAAGCATATTGGATTAATTGCCCACACCTGGTCACATGCCCAGCCCCTGAGTCACCTAAACCAAGTGGATTCCAGTATTTGTCATGCCAGAAAAGGGGATACATGCTGGGAAGACTCTGGCCTCACTCTCAAGCCTGCAAGGCATGAATGTTTAACCCAAAGATGGGTCTGGTTGTAAGCTGGGATAGGTGGGGGAGGAAATGGGAGCCCTGGGGATGGTAATTTCTAATGAATTGCTTTTGCATGTGATGAATCCCTCTTGGTTTGGTAGGACAATGCTTTTGATACAGAGCACAAAGTGAGTGTACCTTTTAACACAGAAGCTCAGAAACCAGATTCAAAGCTACTCTGAACATACCAGAGTTATTTTACCACCGAGGCTCCCAGTTTGATGTTCAATAAACTTTGGTCTATAGTGTCATGCAATGGCTCAAACTCAGGAATGGTGGAACACCTCTCCCTGCTCCTGACCAAGGAATGAGTGAGCTTTTCTAAGGATTTGAGCAGGTTTAAAGGGAACAGTCAACACTTACAATGAACTTAGGGTGCAGGACTCCAAAAGGAATGAGGTGGCTTTCAGAGGAGCTAGGGAAAGATACATCGACATTTTCACACCTCTGTAGGCCAGAGGTATTCAGTGGCAGAGTCACATCTGATCAGGTGGGAATGAAAACACTGAAGCGTAAAAACAAGGCCCTCTGGTTCCAAGGAACCTTCTGGAATCAACTCTCCTAACACCAACCCATCACAACAGGGTCACCAACCATGTGCAAGAGATGGTGAGGACAAAAGGGACAAAGCAACATGCAAAGGTGACAACACATACTTAAAAATCCAAAAGGTTCTAGACCTTGCCCCTTGTTCAGCTGGCTGTTGAGAACAGCACAGCAGGACACTTAATATGACCTGACAATAGGGTTCTCAGGATGCAGGACTTGAGAGTCCACAAGAATTGCCTGGAGTCAGTGGTTGGCTGGCTACTGACCACTGACTTATTGTGAATTTGGGAGGTAATGGAAAACTCCTTTACTCTCTCATTGCCAGAAGTTGCTCTTAGCTGCAAGAGTTCATAGGTGCCTGTTACCTTCCTGTCCCAAATTATAGGATTTGGAACATCCACCAGCTGCCTTCAGGTGTGCAATGGGACAGGATGCTGAGAAAAGATGCTAGAGCTATCTGTGAACTTGAGACAGGGTGAAAGGCAGAAGTTAGAATTCTGGACTGTGTTCCCTGAAGTGTGCATATTAAAGGAATCAGGTGTTTTTATTTTTGTATATGTGGATCAGTTAAGATGTGCTGTGTTCCTGAGTAACAGAACATCACTTCTAACACCAGCTCCTCTCTGTTAGGGGACCTTCCTCACAACAAGAAATGGAAGTAAGAGCAGGTAAATTTAGGCACCCTGATACTCTCTTTTGGGAAAACAAACACACACACACAAACACAGAAGTGACAAAGAAAGGTCAATGGCTTACTGTTACATAAGACATTTTAATACATGCAGGCACAGTGACATTGCACATGCTACAGCTCAACAGAAGCAAGTTTTTTCTCATTCGCGGGCTGCCAGATCAGCCATTGGTTCACAAAAGCACAGAAAACCAAAGTGTGTATTTTTCACATCAATGTTTAATATCAGCCAGACACACACTGAGCTTGTAATAAACAATAACCACAGGTGGACAAAAGTAGGAAACAGGATTTTCTATGGACAAATACCGGGACTGAAACAAACTCACAATGCATTCCAAGCCTTTTGGTTCAGCCTCCGAAGAGCTGAACCCCTGGCATTTCTACACCAGCCAAAAGCTGCAACACTGACGAATTAATAGCTACATTAATGCTCTTTCTTCCTAATTATGTATTCACCCATCCAATCTAGGACTATAATGACAGAAAATTGAGTCATTTCTGATTAAAATTTTCCTATCAGATGAAACCTAGCCACTAATTAATTAGATTATTATAATCAATCTTGTAATGGTCTGTGCTGCTTGAAGTTCACGCTGCCCTCACAATGACCTCAGCC